CGCGGCGACGGCCCCGGCGACACGCTAGCCATTGCGAGCGGATGGCATGTCGCTCCGCTCCGCGGGATGGGAGGCTCGGGAAGGCTCGGGACGCCAGTGCTCGGGGACCGCGACGGGGATAGCCTGTCGCCCCGAAGCGCGGTGGGCCAGAACTGGCGGCGCGACACGCCAAGACAAAGCTCCCAACCGCAAGACTGACCACAATCTCAGGGATGCGCCCACAAAACCTGAGAACCGTCACGTCGGCATCGAGAGCGGGCGATGCGTAGGGATAAGGATATGTTCCAGGTCGGTACACACACACACACTTTTTGCGACGGCGGCTGGGCAGAGGGCGGCTGCTCCGGCGGATAGGCAACAGGGGACACGCTGTGTGCAAATTAGGGCCACAATGCACGGAAGTAGGAGGAGGAGGAGGAGGAGGAGGGAGAAGGAGGAGGAGCCCCGGCGCGACGTACACACACAACCTATAGGGAGGAGGAATGGGGAAAGGCAAAGCGACGAGGCCGCTTTAGGCATGGGTGCGAATTGTCGGACCCCGAGGCTGGGCTCCCGTTCGAGCGGGGGCCCCCATCCGACAACGCACACCCGTAGCCCTCTCTGGAAGTCCACCCCGAAATCTAGGGGCCGCATGGCCATGGGTGCTCATTGTCAGCCCATCCTGCTGGCATGCCCCGACATCTGGGCGTTGCGTGTTTTCAATCCTGGCGTTTTCCGTCGGTTTCGGCCCTGGGACCATCACAGGTCGATGCGGCTCGAAACATGCCGCAGAAGGACGGAGTCTAGAGCTGCTGTCGTGATTTCTTGCGATGTGGCAACTGCTTGATTACAACCTAGGATCTCAAGGTGCGGTCAGGAACTGTTGCTCAGCATGTCGCGGCGGCGGCCCTGGGAACACGCTATGCCTTGCAAGCGGACAACGTGTCGCGGCGCGCCGCGGCGCGGCATGCTCGGAAAAGTTCGAAATGTTGCCGCTTGGAAATGGGAAAGTGGTTAGCGTGCCGCGCCGAAATGCCTTGGGCAAGAACTGGCGGCGCGACACGCAAAGCAAGTCCAACCGTATGGAGGAGATGGGTCCCAACAAAAGCGGGGCCTACTTGGAACCCCACGGGTTCTACCCAGGGCCAAGAATCTCTCCCCGCGAGCCGTTCTCTGACGGCCCAGGGGCCCGGGGAGGGCTCCACAGGAGCCCAGTAACGGCGGGGTCCGAATTGCTTCATGGCGAGTCCTGGGAGGCCCCTGCTAGTAGTCAGAAAGACATTTCCCAACACACATACACACACACCAGTGGTGAACCACCACACGCACACGCACTATGCAAGCCTGGAACCACCGGAGGGCCCAACTGCCACAGGCGAGCCAACACGCGAGACCTCTTGACCAGGGCAGAGCAACTGAACTGGGCGTGGCCACGGCAATGCAGCCACGGCTCGGAGATCTACTGTCCCGGGTCAATCCAAACCCGGGTCAGTCAGGCTATGCAGGACCCTGCAAAGTCCTGATGGTGCAGGATCCTGCAGCCAAACCCTGGTCCATGCGACCGTGGCTCTGCAGGATCCTGCAAGATCCGGCGCTCTGACTGACCCCCATTTGCATTGACCCCGTCTCTTGATCGGAGGCGTCCAAAGAGGGGGACGGCCAAGAGGGGGGGCGCAAATCATGTCCGGCGGCATGTGCGCGGCCCCAGGGGGGGCCCGGGACACACTGAAATAAGAAGGGACGTCATGAAATCTGAGGAGATATCATGGCCCACGAAATGATATCCACCCTTCCCTAGTCATCACCCCCTCTTGGACGCCACCGAGCCTTGACCTCCTCCTCCTCCTCCTCCTCCTCCTCCTCCTCCTCCGCCTGCACAATTATTATACTCAATATGAATACTACTCTCCCTCTTCCCCTGATGACGGCTTGAAAGTATCCGACCCCCCCCCGCGTATTTTTTTTACACACAGGTTTCCTCGGAGTTGGGTTTTCGCCTGCATTTTTTCCAAAATGCTGCTCTCGCTGAGGCGCCGACCTCATTTTCGGGCCCCGCTCGTTCCGAATCGTGCTCCCGCTGCAGCGCTGGCATCATTTCCTTCCTTCCCGGCCAGCACAAAAAAACTCCGTAAACTATCCTCCGACTTGCCTTCCCGCCAACATTTCATTATCCTTTCGCAGCCGGCGCCCGGGCTGCACGCCCGAGCCGGCGCCCGGGCCGGCGCTCGGGCCGGGTCTGGAGCCGGTTCCGGCCGCCGCCGGAAAATCGAGTTCCGAGGCGGCGCCGAAAAAGGCCATTTATAATAGACAGTTTTCTTTTGAAAATGCTGAATTTCTGCTTCCGGCGCCTGGGAGGCATCCCGGGTCGACTCCCGGGCCGGCGCCCGAGCCGGCGCCCGGGCCGGACGCTCGAGCTGGCGCCCGGGCCGGCGCCGGGGCCGGGTCCAGAGCTGGTTCCGGCCGGCGCCGGAAAATCGAGTTCCGAGGCGGCGCCGGAAAAAGGCCATTCCACGCTCGGGAGCCTCCCGGGCCCATTCCGGCGTGCTTCCGCTCGTTCCGAATCGTGCTCCCGCTGCAGCGCTGGCCTTATTTCCGCGCTTCCGCTCATTTCGACTCGTGCTCCCGCTGCAGCGCTGGCGTCATTTCCCGTGCCATGCCACGGCATGCAATTCAATGCTAGGTTGATACTACGCTTCGCGGTGCTCTTCTACGCCATGCCATGCCGTGCTCTACAATGCATCGCGTACCCTTTCGGGATCATTGCCCTGCTCGACATCCGACTGTGCGAGTAAAGAGGGGATCTGCGCCATGGTAAGGGATGGGAGGGAGGGGTAGGATGTCAGATATGACGCGAGCGCACCTACTAAGAAAAAAGATAGGAAAAAATAGAGAAGAAAAAAAAAAGGAAAATAAGAAGTAAGGAGTACAGGGGCGTAAAAAAAAAACAGTAATAGTGAACACAAAAAATGTCTCAAAAGATAAAATTAAAAAGTAACTAAACCAAGGTAAAGGAAAAAATAACATAAAAAAACACACAGAAATAAAAGCTTGTCCTCCTCCCCCTCCTCCTCCTCCTCCGCCTCCTCCTCCTCCTCCGTGTCCTCCTCCTCCTCCGCCTCCTTCTTCTCCTCCTCCTCCTCCTCCTCCTCTTCCTCCTTCTCCTCTCCCTCGCCAGTGCGCACTATGGAGGATCGGGCATGGAGCACGGGATCGACAATCGGTCCTACCGCAAGCTGCTGGACTACCTCTCCAAGATGAAGCAGGGCAACAGGCTGTCTGCACTGATGCTCACGATCGCCGTCGGGGCTACTTGGCCCAAGGAGCGAGTACGTGAGCAGACCAACGCCGTCACCGACGGCAAGTGCCCGCGCTGCAAGCTCAAGCAGGAGACCGCCTTCCACCGCGCATGGGAGTGCGACCAGCACAAGAGCAGCCCAGCCTACGACGCCACCGAGCACCTCGTAGGTGAGGCGACGGCGCAGCAAGATATGTTTGAATGTTTTTGGACACGAGGGCTGATACCTCGGGCCTGGACGGCCGTGCCGCCACCTGCGGCAGCAGCCGACTGGAGCACGTGTGGCATCGACACCTTCGCGCCAGATTGTTTTGAGGTCGGACGGCGAGGCCCGTCCCCCCTCTACATCTTTGGCGACGCCAGTGGAGGAGCCGACACGGCTTCACCAGTCCTACGACGAGTAGGTGTGGCCATCACAGCTTTCACCGACTTGGACGCCAACGGCATGGAACTGCAGATGGCGCTTTGGGGACCTTTGGCGGGCACCCGCCAAACAGTGGTAAGAGGCGAACTCTCTGCCCTCCTCTTAGCCCTGCAGGTGACTTTTTATGACGTGATTTTCATCACCGACTGTGAAGGAGTATATTTGAATTTCCACAATGGCCACCCTAACCATCCTGAAGGGCCCGATGCGGATCTCTGGCACCAAGTTGGGCAAGAGCTTCAGCGACGGACAGGAGACTTTGTGGTTCTACTCGTGCGCTCACATCAGACAGCTGATGACATCCAACGTGGACATGCGAATCGGTCTCTCACTTATGGCAATGCAGTTGTGGACGAGTTTGCCAGCATTGCCGCCGAGCAGCATCGCGTGCCTAAGCAGATCCGACAGCAGATCCAGTTAGTAGAGAATAAAGCTTACCTCGTTCGCATGCGCCTCCTGAGAAGCACCCTAGAGGCCCTGGAATTTGAGCGAGCCCAGAAACTAGCTGCCCCGATTTGCCCAGCAGGCAGTCGACAGTCACGTAGAGTCAGAGTACAGCCTGTCAGACCCCCTGCCCCAGCATTGTGTGCAGCTTTCGCCTCCGCCCATAAGCTGGACGAGACAGGGCGCAAATGCACGATTTGTAAAGGTTCCGCCACAATAGCCACTAAAGTAGAATTCTATAGATCAGAGTGTTTTAACCTCCTCAATATAGATGGCACTTATATGAGACCCCCCCTGGGAAAGCAGGTACATGTAGCAGGGGGGTGGATTCATTTAACCCATCGTCCGAGGTTCCACGCTGGGCTGGGAGTTTGGTTCTGTTCTCAATGTGGTATGTTCGTCTCCCATAAGACGGGGAAACTTGCCTTAGAGTGCGAACCCCCTACAGCAACAGGGTTGGAATATTTACGCCGTATCAATTCGGGTCTCTGGCCTAAGGTTCTCAGCAGAGCTGAGAAGAACCAGAGGAGTGGGCACAAGCACCCTCAGTAGGTGCTGGCGGATTTTCATTCACATATCGCTACGCGATCAGGCAGAGTCTCCAGAGTCTCCTTCTCCTCCCCCTCCTTATCCTCCTCCTCCTCCGCCTCCTCCTCCTCCTCCGCCTCCTTCTTCTCCTCCTCCTCCTCCTCCTCTTCCTCCTCCTTCTCCTCCTCCTCCTCCGTCTCCGCCTCCGCCTCCCCCTCCCCCTCCCCCTGCTGCCCCTCCTCCTCCTGCGCCTCCTCCTCCTCCTCCTCCTCCTCCTCCTCCTCCTCTTCCTCCTCCTCCTCCTACCCCGTTGAGCCCTGAACGGCTGTCCTGCGCGTGCGGCCGGGACACTGACCCCAGCGATCCCAGCCGCCCGTGCTTGCCGTTAGCCAGGGCGCTCTGCAGCAGCTGGCAGAACTCCACGTCCGCGGCCTC